CCCTTTGATTTCTAAAGGAAACAAAGGAGTCAGACAGAATCCAGCCTGGTCAGAGAGAACCCACAGTCTCGGCTCTGCCAGCCCAGCCTCCTCCAGAAAACATTGCTCATTTTTCTGTATAGCAATAGGTGAGGCTTGTCCTCATCCCATGCAGTCTGAGGGCACCATCTCTGAGTTTTTAAATTACTTTTTCCTTCTAATTTAATTAATTGAAATTTTTTTTTGCTGCTGCTTCATTGTTACTCTCATGGGATAAGTTTTGTTCTACAGCGAAATGCAATTGTTACTCCTCTGTGTCTTGCAACTATATTTGTTTAAGCTATTTACAAACATTAAAAAAGAAAAAAAATAAAATAAAAAAGAGTCTTATGTGTCAGGCACTTTATCCAAACTGTGCTGTGTGCTCTGGAGTTTGTTCCTTGTTCTTTGCAATGACTCACGCAGGGGAAGTTATCAGGAAACTTAACTCCAGCCTGTCAACAGGTTTTAAAAGAGAGAAAAAAATTAATCTCTATTTGTTCATCCTCTACTGGTCATGACTGTGTTGTATTTCTGCAGCTTTCTGTTTCTTCAATAAATTATTTTCTAGTCATTCACCCTGGCGTGTGTGGTGTCCTGTGGTGGTGAGGGGGTCCCTCCCCTGTCCCCTTTCACCCCCTCACTCCTCTCTCAAACCTGCCCTGGGAGCTTCAGGGACCATGCCCAGGGCACTGGGGAAAGTTCCTCCCCTCTTTTCCACCTGGCAGCTGCAGCAGTGAGAGCTTTCCCAGAGGAAAGATTTTTATTTCTTGGCACCATCCAATCCCTTTTGGCCAGAACCCAAGGGAAACACTTTAATTCTCACAAACCTGATGCAGATGAGGCCAAAGCACTTGTAAAACAAACCCATGGAACCACGTGTGCTGCAGGCAGGGCCAAGCCCCATGGATGATTTAATTGTGCAATTTTTAACCCAAATTTCTTCTCCCACTGTGCCTTTTGCCATGGCACAAGCACAGCTGGCACAGACAGAGGGACCACGGGACCTTTCAGTGCTGATTTCACCCTTTGTGGCACAGCAGAGGTTTCCAGGAGAGGAGAGGAAAGCTATAAAGTCCTTTTAATTAAAACCCAAAACTCATAAAAAGGGTGACCTGGTCACCTGTCATTTGTTCACACACAACTTCTCCAGCAGCCACTGCTGGTGGCCCTGGCTCTGTGGGATGTGTCCCCGGTGCCCAGCAGGCAGAACTTCTCCATATCCCACTCAGAAGTGATTTGGGGACTTTGCAGAGCCTGTGAGCATAAACTGTCCCCAAAGGTGGGGACACCAGAGCTGGGGGAGTGGTGTGGAGACAGGAGAGGGCACACAGAGGACACTGCTCCTTGTGCAGGGACAGCAAAGGCCGGAGCTGGAGTGGTGGGGAGGGACAAGGAGGCTGCAGGAGCCAGGCTGGTCTGGCTGGAGAGGAAAAATCAATCAATCAATCAATCAATCAATCAATCATATCTGGCTGCCTCTCCAGAAATCAGGAGATATTTTAAAGTCACACTGCTCGAGTCTGAGCCACCTGGGCTGGTGGAGGTGGCCCTGCCCATGGCAGAGGGTGGCACAGGATGAGCTTTAAGGCACCACAATGTAGGAAATAAATTTGTAGAAAATAGCGAGCACCTGTATGCAAACCTTGAGATAAGAAATGCTGACTCAGAAATGCCATGGAATAGGACAGGCATTGTGAAGAGAAAAATAGAACTAGAAACAAGTTTCAAAGGATGGCCTTAAGAACAAGACTAGATAGTTTAAAGAAATAGAACTATGGGAGATGCATTGTAATAAAACCCACGAGGAGTAATTTGGGTTATTGCCTTTAAAGCATTTACAAAACAGTGTTGCAAAAGCTGATAAACCAAAAAACGTTTATAATACATTGTAATTAAAAATAGCTTCTGATTGTGATAGCATAAATTATAACATCTGTATTGTCTCACTCTTCTCATGAGACTAAAAATAGAATAAAAGTTTTTAAAATGTCTCTCAGTTACCCCATCTCTAAATTAAACAAAACATAATCCAACACCACTCAAACCCCTCCAGGATTCCGTGACCTGACAGAAAAACCACAGGACTGACACCAGTCCCTGGTGGAGAACACAAAACAAGGTTCTTCCTGCAGCCACTGCAGCTCAGTCCCCTGTGGGTGGGAATGAGGGGCTTCACTCCCCCAGCCCCTCTGCTGCTCTCCATCGGGGCAGGTAATTAATCCAGAGTTAATTAATGAGTCTGGGTCGGCAGCACTACCTTTGTGGGTGCAGCCTGGGCTGGGATCAGCCTCACACCAGAGGCTCCGAGGGCTCAGCAGAGCCAAGGGAGCTGGGCTGGCAGCCAGGGGGTCACAGGGCGAGGGCAAGCTTGGGGACAGTGGGCAGAGAGCCTGGTGGCAGCAATCAGGGAACTTGGTGGCAATGGGCAGCCGGTGGCAGAGATCAGTGAGCCTGGTGGCAGTGCTCAAGGAACCTGGTGGCATCAGGCAAGGAGCTTGGTGACAGTGGTCAGTGAGCCTGGTGACAATGGGCAGCTGGTGGCAGCGATCACTGAGCATGGTGGCAGCAGGCAGTGATCCTGGTGGCAATGGTCACGGAGCCTGGTGACAGTGGGCAGGCAATCTGGTTACAGCAATCAATGAGCCTGGTGGCAGTGGACAGCGAGCCTGGTGGCAGAGGGCAGCTGGTGGCAGCAACCTGAGAGCCTGGTGGCAGCAATCAGTGAGCCTGGTGGCAATAGGCAGCTGGTGGCAGAGATC